TTTGTATTTCTATATACATCTCAGGCTTATTGTATCTTTGTATACACACAGAGTTTATGGCATTTTTTTAAACAACTTTTCTTTATATTGCATTTGTTTTAAATTGCTTTATATTGAAATGAGTCAGTCAGGTTGAGTTGAGTTGAGCCAAGTAAGTTCTTCAGTCTCTTTCAGATTCCTTTTCTAGCCTATGTTGTTTAGCATTCCAACTCGCATACTCGTACATTCAATGTACTGATGCCAGTTGGCCTGCATCGTCTTATGATGCAGACACAGGTAACCAGGATCAGCATCCAGCGCCTCGTAGATCCAACTTGAGCATTCAGAGTCTGTTGGTGAGCCTTCTTGCATTCCGGAGGACTCTTTTATTCGCTTTATAGTTTAGTTCATTAGGATGTTGTGGGGTTTGTCCCAACATCCTTCTCAGTTGTTTTAGAGGCTTCATTAGACAGTCAAACAGTTAGTTATGAGTCTCTCATCTTTGTACTGCAGATGTTTTGCTATGAGACTTAAGTTGCCAATTTGGCTAAGATATTATTTCTTAAAGTTGTTGTTTAAGCTTAATTATGTTGAGTAAGTCTTATGCTGAGTTCAGAAAGCCAGGCCAAGGGTTCGCTTAGGGCCAGTAATGGTCTTCGAGTGCCAATCCCACCTAGGGTGTAGGCTCGGGGCGTGACAAATGATACCAATACAGTATATGATACTTATTTAATATTAGTTAAGCGAAATTAGTTGGGGTTTATATAGTGTAATCATATATTATTATAAGTGGGAAGCTCCTAACTTAAAAGTTGAATTACCATTCTGCCCTTATTTTGTCTCTAAACTAAATAAAATATTAATATATAATTAATTTAATATTAAATAATAATTTTATTTAAATTCATGCCTCTAGACACGATGGTTCAAATTCTTTGGGAAACAGTTACAACGACGAGGAAAGACCAAAAGTTCCATTTTCCTTAATAAATGTGTATATCAATTCTTCTTTATCAAAAAACAACTTTAATTTTGGCTTGGGACTTGTGTCAGTGACTATTTCTTATCACCGTTTGTTGTTAATAGAGAAAAGATATACAAGAAGTAGCAAAGACACTAAAGGTTATTTCTTTCATATTGAATCTTTATGTTTTTTCTTTTTTATTACTTTATTTGTTTAATCTTGAATTTTAATATATTTTCTTCAAGTTTTTGATCTTGTTTTCATCAAATTGTGCTAATAATCTGTAATACAATTTGTCTGTATTGTTTAATTTTGTGTGGGTTTTTTAGTGCTATGTGCTTTTGATTCTTATGTTTAGTGATTTTGATGTATTCTTTGAGTATCATCTTTTTTGTTAGTTTTATGGTATTTGATTTGCTTAGCCTCAGTGTGCTTTCTATCTAGACTAGAAAAGGTTTTCGCAGTTATTATTTTATTTTTGTGTGGTCTTGTTAATATGTTGTACCCCTTGAATGTTTTTTTGATGTCTATTTTTTTATGAGTTTTTTAGTAATTTTGAAATGTATTCTCGAGGTATTGCTCAATTTTATACGTTATGTGATACTTTTCTATTTTTTACCTTGGGATTTCAATTTTTGTGTATTCTCGAGGTATTACTCAATTTTATACGTTATGTGATACTTTTCTATTTTTACCTTGGGATTTCAATTTTGTTGGAAAATATAATTTCAGTACTTATCGCTTCTTTATCTCCTTTGACAGACTTTTTCATCCTCTAAGAAATGTATTTATTACTGTCAACACATATTATAGGATCGTAGAGACGTTGACTTTCAGAAAGTCATCGTAGTAATGTCACTTTTATGGTAACAATTAAAATAATAAGGTTTAATCTCACTTTTATGGTAACAATTAAAATAGAAAAAATAGAAAAGTCATGCAGATATGTAATACAAGTGACCAGTGAATACTATATGGTTCCCAATATCTATATTTGATAATAGGGTAAAATTACTTGGTGTTTCAATTGATTCACAAAATTTGGAGTATACATATAACCCTTCATTGTTTTAAGTTTACGAGTATATTTCTTTTTAAAAAATTCTACTTTTATGTCTCATTTATATATTTTATACTTGTGTCATTTTTAAAAACTCAATATTAATTGATAGGGTACACGTGCAACGCACGTGAGCGAAGATTAGTTATTTAATGGGTATGAATGTAAATGGATATATATTTGTATTATTTTGCTTTTATGGGCAATGGGGTATTTGCTTAGTTTCATTTTATTCAAGTAAGATATATTTTATATCTAAAAAGTCCAATTTGTTTTTTAAAACAATATTTTTTTTCAATAATATATTAACTTTATATTATTACTTCCTTGACATTTTACTTTGTTCTTATTAAAAATAGATGATCCAAAATAATTAGTACTATTTTAATAAATTAAGATATAATTAGTTGTTTGTTTCCATCGCTTGGTCAACTGAAATTCCTTCAGCATCTCGAGCTGGTAGGCTTCCATATGGTTGAATGCATCGTACCTACATTTTATGGTATTGATGGTAACAATAATGGATCAAGCAGCAATAACACCAATATCCAAGTGTTTCCGTTACTCAAAGAACTATTATTGGAGGATATGCCTAGCCTTACTGAGTGGAAGGAAGTGCAATTGTTTCCAAAAGGAAATGTTGGTAGACACAGACTTGGAGTTAGAATGTTTCCTGTGCTTAAGAAGTTGATGATTAGGAACTGTCCTTCGCTAAAAAGTACTCCAAATCAATTTGAGATCCTACGTGACTTGAGCATTGAAGGAGTTGACAGTGAAATTCCATTGTTGAACTTGTGCAGCAACTTGACATCTCTGGTAATGCTTATTATCAGAGATGTGAAACAGCTCACTTGTCTTACAGATGAGATACTATGCAACAATTTCTCTCTTGAACATCTTTTGAACAATGGCTCAAGATGCTCGAGAGAGTTGCTGAAGATGCTGAAAATGTGTTTGACGAATTCAGGTATGAATCTCTCAAAAGACAAGTGAAGATCCGAAACAACCCAATGAAAAAGGTCAGTGATTTCTTTTCTCATACAGATTTTAAGAGAAAAATGTCTCGAAAAATCAACAACATCAATGAGGAGTCGAGAGCTATCAATAAGTTAGCCAATGACCTCGGTCTCCAATCACTGATGGTTCCTCCTCGGCAAATACTACCGATTCGAGAAACAGATTCCGTAGTAGTTGATGTTGTTGGTAGAGACAAGGATGTTGCTGAAATAAAGGAGAAGATATTGACCATGAGAGATGATACTGATCTGTGCACCATTCCCATAGTGGGCATGGGGGGTTTAGGGAAAACAACTGTGGCTAAGAGAATTTTTAATGATGAGCAGATCGAGAAACACTTTGAAAAGAGAGTTTGGTTGTGTCTACCTGAAATGTCAGAAACAAAAAGCTTTCTTGAACTGATCCTCGAATCATTGACAGAGAGGAAACTTGAGGTCCAGAGTAGAGATATAATAGTCAAGAAGCTCCGAGATGAACTGGCAGGAAGAAAGTATTTGCTTGTCCTGGATGATTTGTGGCGTGTTGACCCAACATTGTGGCATGAGTTCTTGGACACTTTGAAGGGAATAAACACAACCAGAGGAAACTGCATTCTTGTGACGACTCGTATGAAACTGGTGGCATCCACAGTAGCTGTAGGTCTTCATATGTTGGGAAAATTAGCAGATGATCATTGTTGGTCCATTTTCAAACAAAGAGCATTCGTTGATGGGGAAGTTCCAGAGGAAATGGTAATCACAGAGAACAGGATTGTTGAAATGTGTCAAGGTCTACCGTTGGCAGCAGGTGTGTTGGGAGGCCTCATACGCAACAAGGAAAAACATGAATGGCAGGCAATTCTTGATAGCAACTCCCTTGTTGCACATGAAGATGATCTTGGGGAAAATAGCATTAAAAAAATTCTAAAACTCAGCTATGTTTATCTACCATCTCCGCACCTGAAAAAATGTTTTGCTTACTTTGCAATGTTTCCAAAAGATTTTGAGTTTGAAAAGGACCAACTAATCCAACTCTGGATGGCAGAAGGCTTTCTCCATCCATGTCAAGAGACCATTGTGATGGAAGATGTTGGGCACAAGTTTTTTCAAATCCTGTTGCAAAATTCCTTGCTGCAAGATGTTAAGCTAGATGAGCACAACGTTATAACACACGGTAAGATGCATGATCTTGTGCATGATTTGGCTGGAGATATCTTAAAATCTAAACTATTTGATCCGAAAGGAGATGTTGGTGAAATTTCTTCTCAAGTTCGATATTTTGGATCAGACTCACCAATTGATCAAATAGATAAGATAAATGAGCCAGGACGTTTGTGCGCATTGTTCTCGAGAAGCAATATACCTAATGATGTGCTATTTAGCTTTCAGTTCTTGAGAGTTTTAAATTTGTCCAGATCAGGCATCAAGGAGTTGTCAGCCTCAATTGGCAAGTTAGTATACTTGAGATATCTTGATCTCTCCTACAGTGGGATCAAAGCCTTGCCCAACTCCATTTGCAAGCTCTACAGTATGCAAACTTTGAGAGTTAGTAAATGCTTTTTACTGAAGGAGCTTCCAGATGAAATGGCAAATATGATAAGTTTGAGACACGTTTATTACAATTCTCTGTGTATGGATAATAAGCATTTTCAGATGCCATTTAACATGGGGAAATTGACTTGTCTTCATACCCTACAGTTTTTCAAAGTGGGTTCAGAGAAAGGCCGTCGAATAGAAGAAATAGGTCATTTGAAAAACCTGAGAGGTGAATTGACGATTGAAGGTCTCCAATTGGTATGCAATAGAGAAGAAGCTCGAACAGCGTACCTACAAGAGAAACCAAAAATCTACAAGCTGAAATATGTGTGGTCCCATGATGAACCAGAAGGATGTGAGACCAGTGATGAGTATGTGTTGGATGGTCTTCAACCGCATCCTAACTTGAAAACTTTAGCGGTAGTGGAATATATGGGGACTAGATTTCCTTCATGGTTCAGTGAAGAGTTTCTACCAAATTTGGTCAGGTTGAAATTGAGTGGTTGCAAAAGGTGCAAAGGAATTCCATCGCTTGGTCAACTGAAATTCCTTCAGCATCTTGAGCTGGTAGGGTTCCATAAGGTGGAATACATCGAACCTACATTTTATGGTAACGATAATGGATCAAGCAGAAATAACACCAATATCCAAGTGTTTCCGTTACTCAAAGAACTATTATTGGAGGATATGCCTAGCCTTACTGAGTGGAAGGAAGTGCAATTGTTACCAAAAGGAAATGTTGGTAGAGACAGACTTGGAGTTAGAATGTTTCCTGTGCTTAAGAAGTTGACGATTAGGAACTGTCCTTTGCTAAAAAGTACTCCAAATCAATTTGAGATCCTACGTGAATTGAGCATTGAAGGAGTTGACAGTGAAATTCCATTGTTGAACTTGTGCAGCAACTTGACATCTCTTGTAATGCTTATTATCAGAGATGTGAAACAGCTCACTTGTCTTACAGATGAGATACTACGCAACAATTTCTCTCTTGAACATCTTTTGGTCTTAAATTGTGGAGAGTTTCGTGAATTGCCCCAGAGCTTGTACAATCTCCGTTCACTTGAGAGCTTAAGTATTGGCGACTGCACCAATTTCAGTTCCATTCCTGTTTCCAGAGGAGAGAATCATTTGACTTCCCTCCTAAAACTTCGGTTATACAATTGTGACGGATTGACTAGTTTATCAAGCGGACTGCTAGAGCATTGTCAGTCTTTGGAATCTCTGAATGTCAACAAATGTAACAACTTGGTTTCCTTGCCTTTACATGTGTGGGGAATGCCTTCACTTTCATATTTGAATATATCAAAATGTCCCAAATTGGAAAGTGTACCTGCAGGGAGCCTTCACCGTCTCACAGGGTTAAAGACATTGCATATTGGTCCTTTCTCAGAGTTGGTGGATTTTGAGGCATTCCAATTGATTTTTAATGGCATTCAGCAGCTATCATCCCTTTGTGTGCTGTGGGTGTACGGACATGCACACTGGGATTCTCTGCCCTATCAACTTTTGGAATTCTCTTCCGTAACAGAGATCGGAATAACTGATTTTGGAATCAAGGCTTTTCCTATTGAAACATTGGAGCTAGTAAGCTGCAAACAGCTACAACATCTGCTGATCAATGATTGTCCGTACTTAGAAGCTCTGTCAGATGGGCTTGGCAACCTTGTTTCTTTGGTAGAGTTAAGTTTATCTAACTGCAAAAATCTACAGCATCTTCCATCCAGAGATGCCATGCGGCGCCTCACCAAATTACGGCGCCTGAAAATTAAAGGCTGTCCACAGTTGGAAGAAAGCTGCACCAATCGTAGTGGCACAAACTCACAGTGGTCCAAGATTTCTCATATTCCACAAATTAGCGTGGAGTTCACGACAATTCAGGACTTGCGTAAGTTTCTGTTTCTCTTTAGCTTTCGAAGCTTTTCATTCAATCCTTTGGAACTATTTGATACTTTTGAGATATTCACTCCTTTAAAGATGTGTTTTAATCATCAAAGTTTATATTCTTTGTCATAGGCGACTAGAACAAGTGCTATGCTACAAGGTTTCTGTGGTAAACAGTCTCTCCGGGACATATTCTTCGGCTATAGACCTGTTACTGGCTCTTCCATGAATATTTGGTAAGGACTACAGAATCTCTCAAATAAAATGAGCTATCGCATGTCGTTATCGTTCAAAGAGCTCTATGTATGCTTCTTGCAAACTTCAATTCTGGTCTCCTTTGTTTGAGCTGATTTCTAGTGCAAAATGAGATAGTTGAGTGATGCAATAAGGAGAATCAGAAGTAAAATTGTCGAACTGCTAAAATATCAGTTTTGAAAGAAAATCAGTTTGTTAGTTGCAAGGAGATTTAGGAAGTAAGCTGTTAGATAGAGCCTACATTAGTTTCAGTCCATAACATTACATGATGATAGGAAAGTCATGTATTGCATTCTCACTATATTTGAACTCCGACTATTTTTCCCCTTTCTTTCGTTATATTAAAGCCTGACCCCTTCCCTTTCCCAACCTATACGAAAGAAGAAGAATCTCCGTATTTGTCATATCTATTCAGGTGCTATGGTGAAGCTAATGAAAGGTATGGATGGTTGGTGCCATTGAAATCAGTTTATGAGCTATTCATGTGTGGCAGATCAAATAATTCTTACTGATGATGCTACATTTAGACTGTTTCCATGGATTCAGCTAGGAGGTTTCTGCGGTACAAAAGGCAAATTGTATGTTCAAGAACAACTTCATATGGTTTTGTTTTTCAGCTCCATTTCTCATGAGAATATTGTACTACTAACAGGGATGCTATCATAGCAATATCCGTTGCGAAGGACCAGTTTGAGTGGCATCTGTCCATTAAGTTGAAGGTTTCTCTACTCTGCTTATCAGACCAAGCATTCCATGTAAGCTTCTTCTAAATGGTTTTTGTTGCTCACTTACGTCTTGTGATTTGTAAAGTTAGTCCATTTCATCGGTATATGCCAAATTATTCAAAATTACTGTTTCATACAAAAAATGCGAAGCAAAGGCAACAATGGCAGAACAAAAGCTATTCTTTGTTTGAATTCATTGTGTATAAATTATTCACTTTCTTTTAGTAAAAGAAGACACTTTTGAGAAGAAGACATTGTGAAGGTCTGAAGGAGCAAATGCAACAATGGCCGACCCTGTAATTAGTGCTACTGTTCAAGTTTTGCTTGAAAAGCTACTTTCTCTCACTATCGAATTCTGTTCATGAGCTATTCATAAGATGAAGCTGTGATACGAAGACAAAATGTATGTTCCGGCTGACACAGGATTCTTAGATTCAAGACAGATTTCATTTTGGATTCCGTTGATAGTAGACGCTTCTCCAAATTATGTTCACAGTTTTTGACATTATTTTGTTTTTCCTATTTCTTTTTCAGGAGACTGGTTGTACAAAGCAGAAAAATACAAGGTAAGTCAGTTTTTGTATGCACACTGCTCGTTATTTCTCTTCACAACAGAGGATAATTCATTGAAACATTTGCAATTTAAGAAAAAGACTGCTATGTCGTCTTGAATTTAATATAAAAGAGTGCCTCATTGGCTCTGAAATGTCCTTAGGCCTATACCACCTCATCTTAATAGGTCTTGCTTTGTACTAAAAAACTTTTTTTGGTGGTTATTTGTAACGAGTTGCTTCTCCAATAATACTTTTTACCATATCCTATGTTTCAGATTCTTGGTTGAAACAATGACATGGACCTTGTCGAGATGGTAGATTGGAGCAGACTTCTCTTAGATGTGTTTAAGTGTCATGATTGGCAAGGGAAATTGCATTTGGTGGAAACTGGAGAGGATATATTATGTATGACTAAGATTTGAACAGTGTACATGCCTTTCGTAGAAATAGAGTTTTTGTTTCCAGAAAACATTTTGAACTTGTAATTATAAAGACTGAATGTGTGCTGAAAATGCAATCCTAATACGACTAACTACTGATCCTAATACGACTAAGCTATTGAATGATGTCCTAACGCCAGATGTTCTACTAGTACTTAGCTGCTGCATCATTACCTAATATATAGCTTCTTTAATGTATCTTCTATTTTTAAGATTGAAATTCGATGTTCGAATTTCTATCTGAATTTGAAGAGAAGTAGTTTTTGGTTTTGGTTCGAGTAGTTAAGCTTCAACCTTGCTGGGTTTTGTCTTTATGCTAGAAGGAATGAGATAAATCCTTTAATGTTACAACAAGTGGAGTAGAATAGATAATTGTACTACTCATTTTGGACTTTGTTTTATTTCATATATAAAATTTAAATAAAACTACTTGTACGAATAAAATAAACTAAAACTACTTGTACAAATAAAATAAAACCACTTGTACAAATAAAACAAAAAACTACTTAAATAAATGAATATAAGAGGAAAAAGGAGCACAAACTTGGTCTTCATTCACAAATCACATGTATTTAGCCACCTTTTTTATTTTTTTTATTCTTTTTTACTGTTTGAATGAATTATTGACTTCCTTTTAGTGCTCTGCAAAAAGAAGACTTATCACTTTGACAAGACATTGATTTTGTGAAGAAGCAAACACAACAATGGCCGATCCTGTAATTGGTGCTACTGTTCAAGTTTTGCTTGAAAAGTTGATTTCTCTCACTATCGAGGAGGTCAACAGCTCAAGGGATTTCAACAAAGATCTCGAAATGTTGACACAAAATGTATCCTTAAT